TATCTATCATCTATCATCTATCTATCTATCTATTATCTACCTGTCTATCATCTATCATCTATCATCTATCTCCTATCTAATGTGGGCAGGGGGTCAGAGGACAACCTGTAGGAGTCAGTTCTTTCACTCTACCATTTAGGTTCCACTGATAGAACTTGGAACACTAGTCTTCAGGCTTGCCTTGGTGGCAAGAGCCTTTACCTAATGAGCCATCTTGCCAGTCCAAATTTTAAACTTGTTTGTTTTGTTTGCTTTGTTTTTTGAGATTGGGTCTTCCTGTAGTCTCAACTAGCCTGGAACTCACTATGCAAACCAGGCTGGCCTGAAACTCACAGAGATCTGCCTGCCACTGCTTCCCAAGTACTGGGATTAAAGGCATGTGCCACCAGATCCCCACCGTGTGTGTGTGTGTGTGTGTGTGTGTGTGTGTGTACAAATTTTTTTTGAAACAAGGTCTCACTATGCAGCCCTGATTGCCCTTGGAATTTGCTATGTGGACCAGGCTGGCCTCGAATTCACAGAGAGATTAAGTGTCTGAACTAACCAAGAACTAATTGTGAGGTTGTTTGGGTTGCCTCATTAAACACACCTTTAAAATCCAGGAACCCACATACAGAGGCAGGTAGATCTCTGTGAGTTCAAGGCCAGCCTGGTCTACATAGTGAGTTCCAGGACAGCTGGGACTACAGGGAGACCCTGTCTCAAAAAGACCGGAAAAAAAAAAAAAAAAAAAAGGACAGAGTCTCATGTAACCCAGGCAGGCTGACCTCAAACTAACTCCCCAAGTAGCCTAGGATGGTAGCCTAGGATGATTTTGAACTCTTAATCCTTCTGCCTCCAGCTCCCAAGTGCTGGGGGTACAGACCCTTGCCTCCATACCTGGCTTTTTATGTGGGTCCTGAGGATCCAAAGCAGGTCCTCATGCTTATGCAGCAAGTACTTTGCCCATGAATCATATCCCCAGCTCATGGCTATTTAATTTGATTTTTTTTCCCTTGAGACAGGGTGTCATGGAGCCCAGGCTGACCTCAAACTCTTATGTAGATGAGAATTACCTTGAATTCCTGACCTTCCTACCTCTGTCTTCAAAGTTCTGGAATTGTGTATCTCACCAAGCCTAGCTTATTTTTATTTTGAGACAGGGTGTTCTGTGTAGCCCAGGCTGTCCTGGAAGTCTTGATCCTCTTGCCTCAGCCTTCCAAGTGTAGGGATTACAGGTGTATAGGACATGTCCAGTAATTTAAATGATTTTTTAAAAATGTCTATTTGGATTTGTGTGCGTGCGTGTGTGTGTGTATGTGTGTTTTTGAGACAGGGTCTCCCTGTAACTCCAGTTGGCCTGGTAGTCACTTTGTAGACCCCGCTGGTCTCCAACTCTCAGAGATCTGCCTGCCTTTGCCTCCCAAGTGCTGGGATTAAAGGCATGTGCCACCATGCCTGGCCCTAGATTTTTTAAATTATTGTATTATTTTAATTTTATGTGTTTTGCCTGCATGTATGTTAGTGCACCGCGTGTGTACAGTGCCTGTGGAGGCCAGAAGGGTCTATGATCTCCTGGAACTGGGGTCACAGTGTGGGCTGCCATGTGGGTGCTGGAACCCGAACCTGGTCCTCTAAAATAACAGCCAGTGCTCTTAACCCCTGCACCATCTCTCCAGCCCCCTTTAAGGTTGTCAAGATTGGGTTTCATGTAATCCAGGCTGGCCTTGAACTCTGCAGCCCGCGCCAGCCCTGAGCTGGGGTCCTCCCTCAGGGTCGCCAGAGGCAGGGGAGCCCTGCAGTGCTGCCCGGCCACTCGTGCTGTACACTAAGGAATGAACTCGTGAGCCGCCCTTCCCTGTGCCAGCCCTAAACCAACAGCGGCGGGAGGCAGCACAGTACCGCCTCTTCCCTCGCAGACGTGGCGGAGTGAGCCTCTCGCCTGCCAGAAAACCAGGCGGCGGGGCCTGCAAAGGTCCAGGCTTTCTGAGCCCGCCCGCCCGCTAGGAGGGGGCGTGGCCCGACCAGAGCCCGGCCTAGGGGGCGGGGCCTAACCATAGTCGGTCCCGGAACTAGGCTTAGTGCAGCCGGGGGGCCGGAGCCTAGCGCTAGTCGAGCCCGGAAGGGGCGGGAACTAGGCCGAGCCCAGCTCAGAGGGCGTGGCCTAACCGTAGTCGGGCCCGGTAAGGGCGGGAACTAGGCAAAGCCCAGCCCGGGGGGCGGAGCCTAACCATAGTCGGGCCAGGAAAGGACGGGAACTAGGCGGATACAGGCGGGGGGGGGGGGGGGGGGGGGGGCGCAGCCCGGGGGGCGGAGCCTAGCGCTAGTCGAGCCCGGAAGGGGCGGGAACTAGGCAGAGCCCAGCTCAGGGGGCGAGGCCGAACCATAGCCGGACCCAGAGGGGGCGGGAACTAGGCAAAGCTCAGGCCGGGGGGCGGAGCCTAATCATAGTCGGGCCAGGAAGGGGCGGGAACTAGGCAGAGCGCAGGCCGGGGGCGGAGCCTAATCATAGTCGGGCCAGGAAGGGGCGGGAACTGGGCAGAGCGCAGGCCGGGGGTAGGCCTGGCCGTCGTGGTCCGCTCTGGGGCGGGGCTTCCCGCGCGCTGTCCCGGAAGCTCGCCGCTGCTGCCTGAGAGAGGCGCTCCAGCTGCAGCCAGTGCCGCGTCAGTCATGCCGGTAAGTGGCCGCTCCGTTCCGGCTGCGCCACCCACCGTCGCCGGCTCGGTGCATCGCGGCCCGGCCAGGCGCTGCTCTCAGGGCGCAGGCCGCGGCCGGGGTCCCTCAGTTTACCCCTCCGCACCCTCCAGCTCCTGCCGCCCCGGGGAGCTGGGTTCTTGAGCCGGCTGCTGGAGAAGACCGGCCTCGGACCCCCGCTGCGGCGAGGCCAGCCCCAGCCTGCCTGCACTCTCGGGGACACTGGCCGGGGCGAAGCAGGGTCGCGGGTGCCTGCCTCGCACGTGCGCGCCCCCGCGGTGGAGCTCCGGGATGGCACCGGGGCGGGAGGGCCCGGCTGGTGCGGAGCGGACCAGGCGGGTTTTCAGAGGTGCGTGTGGGTCTCCGCCTCCCGTGCCCTTGCTGCCCTTCCAGCTCGGCGCTGGGCTACGCTCATCGGACCCGGTGTTTTCCTCCTTTCCAACACAGGAGATCCCGGGGGTTCCCCGGGCCCAGAGCAGAGTTTGAGGAGTAACAGAGGCTTGTCTTGCTTTTGAACCCCTCCAGGCTCGTGCATGGCGACTATAGCCTCATTGCTTAGGTAGGAAAGAAGGACAAGAAAATGTCCAGTATTTGTTGGAAATAATTTTTGTTGGGAGCTGGGAAAGACCAAGATTAAGCCAGAGCTCCTGGGAAGTTCTGGGCAAAACCAGTTGTACTGGCTTGGGAGGAAGCTATGATCCGCGTTGCTGAGATACTGGCTGCGGTCACGGGCTGAGAAGCATTTTCCTCGGGGTGCCTGATCCTTGGCGCCGCACCCAGAGTTCTCCCTCAGGTATTGTGTCCTAGCAGCTTATCTTTTGGGAGTGAAACTGAGGCTTCCAGGGTAAAGCCTTGGACATATCAGGTATCATTTCTTTTGGGTCCTGCCTTTTGTCTGGACACCAGACAGAAATTCTGGACCTACCAGTGGAGCAAGTCCCCAGGGGGGCATTGTCAAAGGATCATTTAGGACCTGGGATCCAAGAGTGGAGGCCTCCAATGTCTTGAGGGGGCACAGGTGAAGAAAAGGCACTGTGAGGGCCCCTCTCTTCTGCCTCTGCTTCTGGGGACCTTGAGCAGGTGATGGGAGTGAGGCACACAGTAGGCACCTTATTACAGATCAACAGCTGAAGGCAGGCGGCCTTGGTCAGACACTACCTCCAAGCTGGTGACTTGAACAGGTTTGCAGACCAAGGCTCAGCAGTGCAGGGTGCAGCGTTTGGAATCCCTACAAGGCTGTGCTCTGGCTTGTGCTGGGTTACTTCCGGTAAGTTCTACCACATTGCATCTTCACCTTCATCCATAAAATGGGGCTTAAAGGTGGCCTTGCGGGACCATTCTCTGTCCTTACTGGAATTGCATTAGTGAAATGGGTGACACAACCACCGAACTGTCTAGTCCCCCCAAAAGGGCAACTCTTATGTAGATATGGAACCAGTGGGATAGAACCCCATTGTAACACAGACCCCAGTGGTTAGGAGTTGAGGTTCAATGGACTATGTCCGGCCTAGGCCCTGCTTTTCATGAGCTGGGTCACCCCAAGTCAATACCTAACCTTGAAACTTAGCTTTTTGATCTCTCATAGAGGTAATAATGCCATCTAGCTTGTGGGATCATTGTGAGGATTGAGCAAGATACTGTAAGGTGTTCAGGGCAAGCCTAGTACTTCAGAACTACTGAAACATTAGTGCTAGGAAACCCAGATAGGCATCAGTGTCCTAGGACTCCGTGCCCTGGAGTTCTGAAAGGAGTTCCTTGTCTAGGAGGAGGGGGCAAGGTGACATCCCCACTTGCAGTTCTAGAAAGTCTCTTAAAGAATTGTATCACTCACTGGCTTTCTGAAGTAATATTATATATACAATGTATAATGTAACAGTATGTTGCCATGTAACATCTTAATGCTTCTAGTATACTCTAAAGGACTCAATTTATTTATTGGTTTGTTGTTACAGGGTCTCCCTCTGTAGTCCAGCCTGGCCTATAAGTCACTGTGTGCCTCTAAACTCACAGCAATCCTCCTGCCTCAGCCTGTTGAGTATTTGGGGTTAGAGAAGTGACCTGCCACGCCTGATTTAAAGTTTTGTTTTCGTGGTGCTTGCTATATATGTGATGTACCACAAGTTACACGCACAGTCTCTTCAAGACCGGTTTTATAAGTGGCAGAGCAGAGGTTTGGCAGAGCTGGAACTGCACCCAGTAGGGGAGCAGGTCTTGGGATACTCTACAGTGAAGACTGGATCACCATGCCCATTAAGCACTTTCTGTCTCCCTCAGTTTCGAGAGGTGGAAGAGGGGAGCTCGGAGTTGGAATGTTGGCCTCATGGCCTCTGACCTCTGTGCTGGAAGAAGAGTGTCTTTCTAGATGTCCACAGTGCAGAGCTCCCTGTAATTGTTGACTTTAGATCCTTGGGCAGTCAAAGTTCATACTCCGAAACCCCTTTCAGAGTTTCTGCTGAGAGCCAGGCCATGTAGGCTGAGGCACTCGGCTGTTCTAGAACCAGCAAGATTGTCCTGAAGCAGAGAAAGTGTGTGCTCACATCCCCTCCGCAGGCCTTCTCACCACGACCTGGGCACCTTAGGTGAATAACTCCTTTTGCAAGCCAGAGAGATACTGTGCAAAGGGAATTTGAGGGTCACCAAGATGGCTCAGCTGATTAGGGAGCGTGCTGCCAAGCCTCTGACATCCACACTCAGAGTTAATAAAATTTTTTTTTTTGTCTTTTTGAGACAGGGTCTCCCTGTAGCCCCAGCTGTCCTGGAACTCTCTATGTAGACCAGGCTGGCCTTGAACTCACAGAGATCCTCCTGCCTCTGCCTCATGAGTGCTGGGATTAAAGACCTGCACCACCACGCCCTGCTCAGTAAAAGTTTTTTAAAAAGTTTAGTTGAATAGTAAGTTTGAGGCTAACCTGGACCAATGTGACCCTGTCTAAAAAGAGAGAGAGAGAGAGAGAGAGAGGAAAAAGAGAAACTCAAAACTGGAGGCTGTGGAGATGGCTCAGCAGTTGAGAACACTTGATGTTCTTCCAGAGGACCTGGGTTCGTTTCCCAGTACCCACATGACAGATAACAACACTCAGTAACTCCAGTTCCAGGGACTCCGACATTCTCTTCTGGACTCGGGCATTGCAGGCATGTGGTACGCTTACATACATGCAGATAGAACACTTATGCACATAAAATAAAAATAAATAAAATATTTTAAGTTGGAAAAAAAAAACTAATAACTTTTTAGTGCCAGATATTGAAACACGTTTGGATAGTTGGATGTTGCATATGCTAGGTACGTGCTCCTACCACTGGGCTGTACCCCAAGGCCAAAATCAGAACTTTTTTGATTGAGATGATACCACAAGTGGAAAATTCCACACCCTGTGTGATCATCACAGCCAGAACATGGCGCACTAAAAGCATTGCATAAAATTTACTTTCAGCCTACATGTATGGGTGTACATGAAACAAATAAGTTTCACAATTACATTCAAATTCCATTCCCAAGATATCTCATTATATGCAAATATTCTGAAATCTGAAACACTTCTGGTCCCAAGCATTTCAGATACAGGATGCTCAGCCTGTAGATTAGAAATATTTTTATGTGCTTCATAGGGAAGGTAGGTACCTGGGCCAGGTGTGGTGGTCAGCACCAGCACTTGGCATGCCGAGGCTGAAGGATAGGGAGTTTGAGGCCAGTGTGGAATGCACAGAGTTCCAGGTTAGCCCCAGCTGCATAAGTGAGACCCTGTTCTCAAAAAGAAAAAACCCCAAAAGGGCAAAAGTTTTGTTGTTTGTGATCAGGTCTTGGCAGGGTGTTTCTAAGTTCTTGGCCTCTTACTCAAGGCATAAAAATAAAGATTCAGTTTGCAAAGCAGCAAGGAAATTTTATTAAAAGCAAAGCAGTACTTCAGGTTAGAATATAGTAGGGAGCTGCAGGCACCCAAGGGAGATGCTCCCGGTGATTATTGCCTAGGACTTCCTTTTATGGAGTTCAGGAGTAGTTCCTAGGGTATAATTTGGTGGCTCTCTATTTGACTGACAGGCTTAGGATAGGCAAGCCCTTGCTCACTGTGCATGTCTCTTCCCATAATGCATCTAATTTTAAGCATATGCACACCCAGTTACACAGAGGCATAAGATGGTAAAAAGGGGATTCTCCTTAAAAGTTCGCTTTGAAGACATAGTCTGCCTTTTTCCGCATGTACCAGAAAGCAGTCTAGGCCAGACTGGCGCATTGCCTGCAGTTCCCAGATCCTGTTCCAGGATGTGTTTGAGTAGAAATAGGATGTTATCAGGGCTTTGCTAAGGGAGTAACTGATTTCCATTGTTTAAAGCAGGTGGGGCCCTAGATTGCTAACAGGCTTCTAGGAGAGTACCAGGTTGTTAGGCTGTCCCTCTGTTTGCTTGCCTCAGTACTAGGAATTGAACACAGGACCCTGTGCATGCCTGGCCAGCACTATATCACTGAATTACATTCTCAGGGCCTACACATTTTTCTCAAAAGGAAGAGAGAAGGGGCTGGAGAGATAATTTAGTGGTTAAGAGCACTGGCTGTTTTGCAGAGGATCTGGGTTCAATTTCCAGCACCCACATAATGGCTGACAACCTCGTAACTCCAGCTCCAGGGCATCTGATGCCACCTTTTACCCTCCATGTGCATTGCACACATGTGGAACACTTACATATATGCAGACAGAGCACTCATACATACAAAGTAAAATTTTTAAAGGTTCTCAGGCATATTCTTTAAAAAAAGGTTGCCAGTCCTGCCTTTGATTATCAACGATAAACAAAAATCAACTTGCTTATTTCAAAAATAAAATCCATTTGTGTAGAAAATAAAAGGAAGGAAGAAATAGGAGGAAATCGTCATCAGAACCCGTGACTCTGTGCCCTGAGGCGCCAGCTCCCTGGCGCTTAACCCAGTTAACACGTCAGCTGTCTACTGCTCTTTAATAATTAGCCCCAGACCGAGTTGGGCACCTGGAAGCCTCTCAGCAAAGTGGCCTGGCCTAAGGGCCAGTGAACTGTGCTGCAGTTCTGCGGCTGTGTTCTCTGCAGTCTTGCCCAGGGCCACAGGAGCCACATCTAAGATGACACAGTCACTGGCTTTTACCCGTGGGTTTCAGGGTTTCAGCTTTTCAGTGTGGACCTCTGAACTGCTGCGAGCTGTTCTTATAACATGGCAGCTGGCTTCCTCAAGTTATGCCGGAAAGAACAGGACAGAAGCCACCATGTCTGTGTGACATCGTGACTGGCTTAGAAAGCATAGATCACAGAAGCTCACACGAACCAACCCTGAGACACTGTGGAACGGACACTCAAGGCAGAGACGGTTAGGGCCGTGGTGGAGGCTGCGTAGTCAGAGCCTGTGTCTGTCCCACTTAGCCTGGAAGAGCCCCTGTTGTTCTGCCGGTTAAGGTCCTACAGCTGGGGAGTATCCGCTGGTGTCGGATCTGTACGCTGATTCCAGAGGTTGTGCAGGAAGGAAGGATTGGCATAAGTAATCCTTTTCTGAAAACTGAGCCAAAGACTCAGACTCAGACGTCGTCCACCAGCCTTGTGCATCATCGATCCACTCAAAGTGTGCTAGGTATGTCCTCTCTGCCAGGCGCTGTTCCCAGTATTTCTGGCACAGCAACAAACTGAACAGAAGCCCATCTTGTGGACACTTGCCTCTACTTGTTAGATATCCTGGACATTACAAGACCTTGGGAGCTTGGGACCCCCTCCTGGCTGCTGCAGCACCCTGGGGAGACCAGGAAGTCCCTCCCTTGGTAGCAGGAGGGATGGGGGGATGGGGCACTCGGATGCTGCCTTTGGGTGTCAGGAGCTGGGATCAGAACAGTGGTAGCCACACACCTGAGTCACCTGCCTGCACAATGGTGTCCCCACCCAGGCTGCTGGTTTGTGAAGACACCCAGGTGACTAATGCAGAGATTGATGTCTGGTGCATATGGGGGTTCCAGCTCAGCACTGCTGGAATGGCTCCCTGTGTAGAGTTCCCTGGTCCTGAGCAGACCCCACAGCTCAAGACTCAGGAACCCCAAGATGGTCCTGTCTTTGCCTGCTGGACACCAGGGGATTGTCTCAATTGTGCTGGGCGCTGCTAGTGCCTCTGCAGGGTGTGTTCCCAGTGTGAACCACAGAAACCCTGAGTCCTCCGCTTATAGCCCCAGAGACTGCTTGCAAAGAAGCTTCCAGCAAGGTCATGCCCTGTCTCTGCCCCCTGTTGGCCCCTAGTGGCCCCTGGGGCAGTGGGTTGGGGTCACTAGGTGGGGCCTGGCTCATAGTGCCTGTTGTTGCAGAAGCACGAGTTCTCTGTGGACATGACCTGTGAAGGCTGTGCTGATGCTGTTTCCAGAGTCCTCAACAAGCTGGGAGGTGAGTGGTCCTGGTCTGGAGACAGGCAGGGAGCTGGCACAGGGAAGCCTGTTCAGAGCAGGTCTAGAAGCATCAGCTGTGGCTCAGCTGTGTTAACAGTAAAAGTGCAGTGTGTGGAAGGCATGGTGTGCCCCGGGCTCTGCTGAGCAGCTTATGTGATGACTACGTGGCTGTCGTCTCGTCTCCTTCAGGGTCTCCATTCTCTTGCTTTCTTGTTTAGTTTTGTTTTTGAGACTCTTGTGAGGTAGCTCAGGAAGACCCGCTGGCCTCAGATTTATAATAATCCTGCCTCTGCCTCCTGAGTGCTGGGATCACAGACATGTGCATCTACACCCAGCTCTATTCTTTGGTTTGTTCTCTCTCTCTCCCCCTCTCTCTGCACTCTCACCCTCTCCCTCCCCCCTCCTCGTCCTTCTCTCTCCCTCTCTTACAGTATCTCACTGTGTAGCCCAGGTTGATCATAGACTCCATCATCCAGCCTCAGCTTCCCCGAGTGCTGGCATTTCAGGCACACACCACCAACACACGCTCAGCGAGTGCCTTGATTTTCAGAAGGAGGGCACTGACTCAGAGCTGCAATGGACAGAGCTGGGATTTGGCTACAGTTTCCCTCCAGGGCCCTAGAAGTGCTGGTGTGTTGGTGAGCTCCAGTGTGGCAGCCTGCACACACACAATAGATGATGTCATTTAAAAAGATTAAGCTTGCCCACCGGGCATGGTGGTACACGCCTTTAATCCCAGCATTTGAGAGGCAGAGGCAGGTGGATCTCTGTGAGTTCAAGGCCAGCCTGGTCTACATAGTGAGTTCCAGGACAGCTGGGGCTACAGGGAGACCCTGTCTCAAAAAAAAAAAAAAGATAAAGCTCGATGGCACATGCCTGAGATCAAAAATTCAAGTCCTTCCTGGACTACAAGTGAACTCAAAGCCTGGGTGACTTAAGGAGATCTTGTCTCAAAGAATACAAAAAAAGGCTTGGGGTATGGCTCAGTGGGATAGCACTTGCCTGGCATGTGTGATGCCCTAGGTTCAGTCCCTAGTTCTGAAATCAAAAATAGATAAAATGAAATAAAATAAGACCTTGTCTCTAAAAATCATAAATTAATAGAACATATGGAACATAGCACTCAGGGCTGAGAGGGCCTCCATGTTGGCAGTCCTGAATGGGACTTTTCACAATGGAACGCTGCTGTTGACAGCCCCGGAGGGAAAGTACCTCACCTGAGTCCCACAAGGAGAGTTTCAGTTTGTTTCTTTGTTTTCTTTTGAGACAGGATCTCATTACGCAGCCCTGACTGGCCTGGAACTCTGTGTACACCAGGCTGCTCCATACTCTGTGAGAGATCCTATGAAGCCAGGGACTTTCCTCCGGGTGACCCCAGCTGAGGCCTGAGAATGTCAGTCCACGACAGCGTGTTCAGCGAACACTTCAGAGACGAAAGGGAAGGGCTGGGGTCAGAGCCCAGTGGTAGAGTACACATCCTGCGTGGGCAAGGCCTTGGGTTTGGGTCCTGGGTTTGATCCCAGCTAAGAAGAAAACAGGAAAGAAGCAAAAAGCCAGTGTTTGTATGCACAGCATTACTGGGGCAGGGGCGGGCCTGGGGCAGGGGCGGGTGGTCTCTGGCTTTGACGGGTTCTTCCATCTCCTTTTGAGGAAGGTCAGTGTGTTTTGGAGTTGCTTGGAGCCTGGGAGTCTGACAGAGTGAACTGAGGCCAGAAAGCACATCAGGGCTGGCAGCCCATGGGGATGCTAGGGAAGCTGAGGCCCATTACACTGGCCACTCTGCAAGTCAGTGATAGGCCAGGCCTGGCCTTTGTGTTGTGTGTGTCACTCAGGCTATAAGCCCCTCCCACATGCCGCTGCATGTGGCTTTCTGGTTGGCACAGCCTTTTAGGAAGGCATTGTGAGTTTTCTCTTTCGGTGGGAGTAGGGATTGAATGGGGAGGGGCTTGGCAATGGCTGTTAACAGTCCTCATGTGCCAGGCTCTTGCCCCATATTTTCCACTCTGCACTTTCCACAGGCGTGCTAAGCTGGGATTGGGTGGGGTTACCGGGGCATCATTGTCATAGCTCTGGAGAGGCAGAGCTGACCCCCATGTTCTTGGAGGGATTGAGTCAGTGAGTGGATGTGTGGTACATCTGCAGGGGGAGATGGAAGCTATTGAAAAAAAAGGATGAAGCTAGGCCTGGTGGCTTCATCCTAGCTACTCAGAAAGCTAAGGTAGGAGGATCATAAGCTTAGGCCTGCCTGGGCTGTACAGCAAGTTCAGCGCCAGACTGGGCAACTTTGTGAGACTGTGTCTCAAAATAAAAAGTAAAAGGAGGGCTGAGGCTGTACCTCAGTGGTAGGGTGCTGGCCTGGCATGCTTGAGGCCTTGCATATTCCCAGTACCAGAGAGAGAGAGAGAGAGTGAGAGAGAGAGAGAGAGAGAGAGAGAGAGAGAGAGAGTGAGAGAGAGAGAGAGAGAGAGAGAGAGAGAGAGAGGAGAGAGAGGAGAGAGAGAGGAGAGAGGAGAGAGAGAATATGTTAGTGAAATAGCTCAGTGGGTAAGGTGCTTGCCACCAAGCCTGATGACCTTAGTTGAATCCCCAGGACCCACATGTTGGAAGGAGAGAACCAACTCCCGTAAGGTGTCCTCTGATCTCTGCACCCAGTCCCTGGCACATGTATCCCCCTCCACATACACACAATAAATAAATAAAAATGTAATAAAGAATTAAAAGAAGAGGGGGGATTGTATATGCTAAATTAGAAAGTTAGCCTGGTCATAGGAAAGAGGTGTTCCTGATACATTTAGAGGGAAGGGAGGGGGAGGAGAAAAGGAACAGGAAGAGAGGGAAGAGAAAAAGACATAGTGTGGCTGTCTCGATGGTTGATGCTTGCTTCTCCAGAGGACCCAAGTTTGGTTCCCAGCACCCACATCAGGCCGCTCACAGCCATCTGTAATGCCAGCTCCAGGGGATCTGATGCCATCTTCTGGCCTCTGCAGGCACTGTACTCATGTGGCATACATGAACATGGACACATACACATATACATAGAAGAAAATAAAATTTTAAAAAGCAAATTCGGAGAACTAGAATACAGCTCAAGTGGAGTGCCTGCTGGGATACCTGGGGCCTTGGCTTGATCCTGGCACTGAATCCCTCTATGCAGTGAAGGGTCTGCAGCGAGGATGCCTTGACAAGGGCTCGCCCACCCTGGTTCCAGGAAAGGGGCGAGGTGACTGCACAGCCCTGAGGAGGAAGCCCTCTTTGTTGCAGAGGGCGGGAGGGTCCTGCTTCCTCTTCCCACACCGTTTCCTCTTCCTGCAGGAGTGGAGTTCAGCATTGACCTGCCCAACAAGAAGGTTTGCATTGAGTCTGAGCATAGCTCGGACACGCTGCTGGCAACCCTGAACAAAACAGGAAAGGCAGTGTCCTACCTCGGCCCCAAGTAGCAGGCTGAGCGCCTGGCCCTGGATGGAGAGGCAGGTGGGTGAGGCCGCATGAGTCCTCCTTATCTCAAAGGCTTGGACCCAGACTCCTTTCAGATTTCAGTTTTTCCCGGGCTTTGAACCTTTGCTGAGGATTCTTCTGTAGACCAATGCTGGTAGGAAAACCTCAAATCCCAAACTGTCTGACCATCCAGTTGGCTCTTTAAAAAGTTACTGTGGAGCACGGTGCGACTAGGGTTTTCTGATTAGAGACGCTGCCCTGCGCTTTGGCTTCTAGAGATGGTACAGGTGGGTGCTGTTCAGCCCCCCACTGCCCTCCTTCTCTAGAGGGTTACCAGTGTTTCATTATTGGTTACTGCAAAGTGGAAGCTCAGTCACCTTAAAATTTATAAAAATTTGTTTATTTTTATGTGTATGAATGTTCTGCCTGCATGTATGTGATTGTACCTGTGTTGTACAATACTGTGGTGGTCAGAAGAGGGCACCGGATCCCCTGGAACTGGAGTTAGGGGCAATTATTAGTCATATGGGTGCTGGGAACTGAACCCAGGTTCTCTGTAAGAGCAGCCAGTGCTCTTTTAACAGCAGAGTCATCTCTCCAGCCCCCTGTGATGGCCCCCACCTCCTCCCCTGTGAGCAGACAGCTCTGTTACATTCTGAGTCCCTTTAAGACTTACACTGGGCCATGCCTGGTCTGGTGAGGTTTAAGTTTAGAGTGCTGACCCTGAGTGGCAAAGTGACATCCCATCACAACTGACACCCGTGTTCTGGGCCTTACTCTCCTGTGCACGAGTTCATCCATTCCCCATCTCTCTTTGTACTCGGAGCTGAGCCAACCTGCCATCCATCCTGGTGCAGGAACGAGGGCCCATCTAAGCCAGATCTTTGTACGCTTTACAGAACCCAGGCAGGCAGGACATGGCTTGGTGCCAGAGCTCTTCACTCAGGAACTAGGGCAGCCTCGCCCATGCCCCAGCAGTCCTCCCGCTGTGCCCTGCCGCCTCACTTCCCCCAGAGTGCATTTGGCTCAGGGATTATGATGGTCACTGCCTTGATGTAGTTCGTCTTATCTTCTCTGGAACTGAGAACACAAGGTCTAAGGGGACGTGACCTGACCAGAGCTCCGAACAGGTGGAGGCAGAGGAAAGCAGGTGTCATGTGTGGGACTGCCCAGGACCCTGACCCTGACAGTGACCCATGAGACCATGGCAGAGGCCAGACTGAGTGGAGCTTCTTCTCTAAATGTGAACACTTCGAGCCTGAGCCTCCTGTGTATGGTGACAGCACAAGTTAAAGATAAGGTGGGTGTGGGAGTGTGCACTGGCAGTCCTATCACTTCAGAGACTGAGGCGGAAGGATTGGGAATTGAAAGCCAGCCTGGGCAATGTAGAGAGCCTGCCTTAAAATAAATAAATAGATACAATAAAACGGCCAGACGGCTCAGCAGGTGAAGGTGCTGCTGAAGCAAGTTCAGTCCCCAGGACCCATGTAGTGGGAAGACAGAACCGACTTCGTCAGGCTGTCCTCCCCACTCAGACTTCGGCAAGTGCATTCCTCCCTCACATACATACAAACATGCGCACATACACATACCACAAACACATGTGTGCACCATAAACACATGCACACACTACATGTGTACACCTGCACAATACACATGCACACACACAACATCTCATGCCTTTCTCTGCCTGACTGACCCACAGTCAGGAACGAGCCAGATGAACACAAGAGTGGGATTCAGGTTCTAGCCATCATTCCACACTGTGAGTTTGGGTTCATTTGCCCTGTGTACTTAAGAGGTTTGATCCTTCCACATTTATCTGTGATGAGCTAGCCTCTATCCTGCCTTCCTGCCTGTGTGAGTCACTGTACAGTCTTATCTTCCACTGTGCTGGCACTTGAACACCTGGTGTTATCCCTTCATCCCTGGGTTCAATGGGAGGGAGAGTGGGTAGGGCCCTGGCCTCCATCTCTTCCAAATAGCCCTACTATGTATTGAACCTCCATTTACAAGTCTTGCTAATTTGGATTAAGTTTATGTTTTTTTAAAAAAAAATTATTTTTATTTTGTGTGTATGAGTGTTATGCCTGCATGTAGGTACTGGAACTGGAGTTATGAATGGTTGTTAGCCACCATGTGAGTGTTGGGAACTGAACCCAGATCCTCAGCAAGAGCAGCCAGTGCTCTTAACTGCTGAGCCATCTCTCCAGCCCCTATGTTTTTATTTATACAGAATTTATCTTTTTCAAGATAGGGCCTCACTGTATAGCTCAGGTTAACTGGAGTCTCCCAAATGCTGGTGTGAGCCACCATGCCTGGCTTCTCCATGTAAGATTGTACTTGCGGGCCCACAGGATGGCTTTATGGGTAAAGACAACCAAGTTTCCCATGTAGAGGTTGAAGGAGAGAACTGACTGAACAACGTTGTCCTCTGAGCTCCATACAGGTTCCACATTAGTACCACACCATTCACATAATACTAGTAAAAGTATTTTAACATTTTTGAAAAGAAGATTGTATTTAGTAACTATTAGTCAGGTTCTCCAAAGAAACAACCGGTAGAATGAATATATATGTATAGAGATTTATCAGCTTAGCTCACAGGATAGAGTCTGAGTAGTCCAACAATGGCTGCACCACACTGGAGAGGCTGAGAATCCATAGTCGCTCAGTCCACAAGGCTGGATGTCTCAGATCCCAATCTGGCGCTGAAGGTCTAATGAATTCCAAAAGATCAGCTAGTCTTCAGTCTACAGCAGCAAGACGAACGCACCAGTGAGAGAAGGCAAGCAGCAAAAAGTAAGGCATTCTCCTCTGCCATGGCCTTTTATACGGGCTGCCATCAGAAGTAACACCCACATTTAGGGCATGTCTTCCAGCTTCGGATGATCCAACCAAGAAGCTCTCTCTCATTTCAGTTAATCCCAGATCCAGTCAAGTTGACACCTAGGATTAGCCATCACAGTAAGCATGCTTTGTGTGGAGAGGGGAAGGCCAGCAGCGGGGCCTGTGTACATGCCAGCCTATAGTTTGGAAACCGGGTCTGGACACCTGAGCTTTTGTAACTACAAAACTAGTGCCCGCTGTTTGTACGTACCATGCAGCTGAGCGTTTGCTCGTAGTAGCTTTTGTTAGTGAGGTGTGGTTGATATGATTAGGGTTCAAGGGCTAGTCTTGACTACATAGCTGTTTATTGGGACCGAGTACTTTCACACTGCAGGACAACCTCACCTGTGTCCAGCTCAAAATGAAAGTTTCATCATCTGAAAAAACACCCCATTTCCACTAAGCAGTGACTACCCAGCCCCTCGCTCATCCCTCTGACATACTGGTCTACTTTTGTCACTCTGTGTTCTCCTGGTTACTTCCTATAAAGGGAATCAGTGCATTTATATGTTGACTTGTTTGTTTGAGACAACCTGGGTCATATAGCCGAGGCTGGCCTCAACTGCTAATATAATCAAGGTTGGCCTTGAACTCACAACACTCCTATGTCTACCTCCAGAGTGTTTGTATTACAAAAATAGGCATGTACCACCAAGCCTGGCTAACTTTCTATTCTGGGAGATGTCAGATGTGTACAACAAGGACTGTAATGGAAAGAGTCCTCTTAGCCAGATGTAGCAGTTAGCATATCCCTGCCCTGTCTCATCCCTGCCCACCCCCAGGCATTCTGAAGAGGACTCTAGACGTTTGTAGCTATCTGCATGTGTCAGCCTTGTGCAGTATGGGAAGGTTCCCAGAGGCTGAGACGCACAGGACTATCTACTCGGGTGTCATCTACTATAACAGTGACCAACTGGAAGCCATCTTTGGTTGCCACAGAGGTAGGGTGTGTATTGGTGAAGAAGTTGCCTCTGTGGTCTGGCTCTATTTATTTATTTTTGAATATTTTATTTATTATTTTTATTTTATGCATCCAAATGTATTGCCTGCTTGTATGTGAGTGTACCCATGTCGTCGTGTCGTGCAGTGCCTGGGAGGTCAGCAGAAGGCTTCAGATTCCCCTGGTACTGGAGTTAAGGACAGTTCTTAGCCGCCATGTGGGTGCTGGGAATCAAACCCGGGTTCTCTGCAAGAGCAGCCAGTGCTCTTAACTGCTGAGCCATCTCTCCAGCCCCTTATTTTCATTTTTGAGATGGGGTCTCATATAGCCCAGGCTGACCTTGAACTTGTAATAATCCTCCTGTCAGATCCTCCCAGGTGCTGGTGGGTGCGTTGTGTCAGTGGTGTTCACTAGCTCTGTTGTGCTGAACCAGCAGGACCACAGCAGGCAGAGGCCAGGCGGTGGCTGCTGACAGTGTTGGCGGTGCAGTTGGACATGCCCTGCTTTCCCACCTCACCCCAAGGCCTATTGCAGGCTCAACTGCTCTCAAAATGTTGCCGTACTCTCAGTAGGTGGCGCCATTGATCCACTTTCCATCTCTCCTAGGGTACTGCTCTGACGTCTGCGCAGACCTGGGACTTCGTCTCCCTTCTCTCTCTTGCTCAGTCATGGAGTCCACAGAGCCAGACCCTCCCCTGCAGCTCCCTCTAGCTTCCCTACAATAAAGTCAAGCTGCATTTGTTGAAGTGTCTCACGTGGTCTTGGTGCTGCTTGCTGCCACACAGGCTGTTGCTTTGCTTACCTAATTGGAGCGACCAGAGCGTCCCACCAGAGGCCAGGCACCTGGCACGTGCTGATTCCCTGCTGTGCGGTCTTGAACAAACCCCCCTGGACCTCATTTTTCCTCACTATAAAGGGAAGGCATCAGGCCAGCTCGGTGATTTCCTTTCTTACTACTTGGACTCCATATTTGAAGTACTGTCAGGTGAATTACACTTAAGAGATACCAGACCAGACATTGAGGCAGTTAGAGAGATGGGAAGCTGTTGTGGAGGCAGCAGCTGGGACAGGCTCCAGGCTCCGTACCTCCTGCTTGCCTGGGCCTCTTAATCTCTCAGTGTTCCAGGCCTAAGAAATGATCAGCACATCTTTGACAAATGATGATGGGGATGATTGTGGGGACAAAATGAGGTGATTGATAGGAGGGACCCACTTAGAGCAGAGCCAGCAGTGAGAATCACTGAGCAGGCATCTGCGTATTTCATGAGTCATGGGTGTGTAGACATGGCAACTCGTCAGCTGACAGCTCGCTGCCTCACAGAGCTGTCATGTCAAAATAAAGGATAAAAAGTTTGAGCTCTTTTGTACTACAGTCATGACCATTCTGACAACATACATGGGCTCAGTAGTGGCATGGATGTTATGGGGGTAAGCAGCTGATTTCAAGTTGGATTTAAGGCCCACTCCACAGGAAACTCATTCATGGTACTGCAAATCTAAGAACCCGTGTTTGGGAGCTCACAGGCCCCAGGGTAAGCCTACTGTTATTTTGTTAAGTAGGTATAGTATCAAACTCCTCAGACCTCATCAGAGAAGTTTCTTTGTGCAGCAGACCTTGGTTAGTGCAGAAACTCATAACTGGTCACAGTGTAGAGAATAAGTCTGTGGAGTGCTCAGTCGTAAATGAGTCATAAATCTATATCATCCCCCTCCCCCCAAGGCTCAGGGGACATCATGAAGGAAGGGGTGGAAAGCTTACAAGAGCCAGAGGTCAGGGAGGACCAGGGTGGAACAGTGTCTCGTGGACAGGACAGGATCTCATGAACTATGGCAGCTGTGGTTGCTTGATCAAGACCACCACAGGATTAGGCCAGTCAGCACTTCAGCATGGGTGGGCCGGCTCACGTGCCCCCACCTCTAGCTGAGGAGTTTTTAAAAGTACTTTATTATTTTTATTTTCTGTGTATAAGTATATTGCCTGCATGTAGGTAGGTGTACCCGTGTCATGCAGTACCATTGGAGGTCAGAAGAGGGCGTCGGATCCCCTGAAACTGGAGTTTTGGACTGTTAGCTGCCATGTGGGAATCAGACTTGGGTCTTCTGCAAGAGCTGCCTGTGCTCTTAACCGCTGAGCCAGCTCTCTAGCTCCGCTGAGGAGCCTTTGACAGTTGATAGATCTTAGGGGGGCAGAGTCAAGTTTTCTTGCACCCACATGGCAGCTGACAATTGTCCTTAACTCCAGTTCCAGGGACTCTGACTCCCTCTCCTGACCTCCATGGGCATTGCACACATGGGTGCACTTACATGCAGGCAAAACACTGACACACACATAAAGTAAAAATAAATAAATAAATATTAAAAATGTATGGAAATCATGTTTATCAATCTTTTGCCTTCCAACCTGATGTGGTGGCTCAAACCAGTAACCCAAAGCCCTTGGGTTGCCTCAGATCTAATAGATTACATTGAGATACTATTTTGAAAACAAATGTTTTCACCTCGTGAAAGAGTTGGGGAGACACACATTGAAAATCACAGCTGTAACCACTTCTTGGACACTTACTGGGGACCCGACACTCCTGGACCTAGGATAAGACCTAGCTCTGCCTGTGGCCCACTATGACCTTGGATTGGTCATCTGATCTCTGCCAGGGTCACTTTCTTCACCTGGACAGTCACAGCTCAGCTCTGGAACAGTGGAAGGAGGAGGATCAGGAGTTCAAGGTCAGGCTCAGCTACATAGAGAGTTTGAGGCCAGCCTGGACTACATCAGACTCTGTCTCAATTCAGTCAATCACCCAACCAACCAATTAACCACCTACCGATCTACCAAACGAGTCTCAGGCCCACTTCTGCCTCTGGTCCCGTAGGGGCACAAGGCCTTCTCAAGACCTGGTAGGCCGGTCTGGCCACTAGATGGCAGCATGCGTTTGATTTGATTGTCCACATGAACTTTGTTTTGCAGTGGGATCTGCGAGGACCATCTTGTGAAGGCTAGCATTCCACTTTCAGCTGACTTGGGCCAGTCAGCTTGGCCTGTTGGAAGCTCTCAAGCCTTAAGACACTGGGGCCTCCTAGGACTAGGGGGTCCTCAGAGAGACCTTTGTCTCTTCAGCCCCAGCTGGGACCCATGCATTCAACCGAGGCCCTCCCTTCTGACCTTCAGGGATTGGGGAGCTCCGGCACCTACCATTAGCTCAGCGAGGGTCCATGAAGCAAGTGAGATCACATGGTGACTCTGGCTGCTGGGGGGGAATGTTGGGGAGTTGGTGTGCTCCCTCTATCTTCCAGCCTTTGGCCTGGCCCCACTTCCCCCCACTCTCTCGCCACCTGATCTCTGGTTTCCCACTCTTCCCTGATGCTTGATGCTCCCGGGGTCCCAAGGGTCTTGCGCCACCACCTGTAAATGGAATGCCTCCCCAGTGGCCCCCCCTCCTCCATCCCCACCATTCCTTTCCTCCTCTCTTGCACACCACAGCTCCTGGGAACACTCCCCTAGCCAGAAGCCCGTCACTGCTCCTCCCGACCTCTGGCTTTTCCTGTGGCAAAGCTTTCTGTCCACGTGTTCTCAAGAATCAGCCCACACGCTCGTTCCTGCCCACATGGAGGGGCACAGGGGTATTTGTTGGGTGAGCAGTGGCTACCATGCAGGTTGCTTACTTGGCATTCTCCCCTGGACCTCTCAGTCTAACCTCACCTGTGAGACAGAGGGCAGGACAGACCCTGCCCCCTTCGGTGCTCAGTAGATGTTTATTTTTACTATTATTTTATTTAGAGGCAAGGGCTCATGTAGCCCAGGCTGACCTTGAACTCACTATATAGCTGTATTTGTGATTCTTCTGCGTGTATCTCCAGAGGGACTTAGAGTGTGAACCACCGTTAGTTTAATCTTTTAATCTGAGAGGTTAGTTTAATCTTTTTAGATTTAGGCCTTTGAGTCCTGGAACCTGAGTGTGGGGGGGTCCCCAGTACCTGCTATGGCTTCCAGTCTGATGGAGTAAAGTCCCACCAGGTCCACTTCTGTCCATCTATGCTATGACTCCAGACCCTGTCAAGCCGCAGCACCATCAGGCCTAACTGACGCTCCTCCTCAGCCATAATAGGGGGAGCAGAACCGGGAGCCAGACTCCGGGTGCTCCAGTGCGCCCCCGTCCCCCGGCCATGCCTCTGACGTCCCTGCCCCTCATCATGGCAGCGTGGACCCCAGAGAGTCCCCAACACACGCACACCGAGGCAGGTGGCAGGCTTCTTGTTTTGTTTCATTGGTCCTGACCAGCAAATCGGGGACTTGAGCGTAACAGGCTGTACTGAGTACCTCTCCTGCCCTGTTTGCTTGTGTGTTTGTGTGCATGTGTGTGGGGTATGTGTGTGTATGGTGTGTGTGTGGTATTTGTGTATGTGGTGTATTGTGTATGTGTGTGTGTGGTGTGTATATGTGTGTGTATGTATCGTGTGGTGTGTGTGGTGTATGTGTGTGTATCTGTGTGTGGTGTATGTGTATATGTGTATGTGGGGGGGGTATGTGTGTGTATGTATCTGTGTGGTGTGTGGTGTATGTGTGTATGTATCTGTATGTGTGGTGTATGTGTGTATATGTGTGTGTGTTTGTGGGGGTATGTGTGTGTATGTATCTGTGTGGTGTATGTGTGTGTGTGTATCTGTATGTGGTATATATGTGTGTGGTATATGTGTGTATATGTGTGTGTAGTGTATGCGTGTGTGCATGTAACTGTGTGGTGTGTGTGGTGTATGTGTGTATGGTGTATACATATGTGTATGTATCTGTGGTGTGTGGGGGGGTATATGTGTGTATGTATCTATGTGGTGTGTGTGTGTGTATGTGTGGGGGGGATATGTGTGTGTATCTCTGTGATGTGTGTGTGGTGTATGTGTGTATATGTATGTGTGGTATATCTGTGTGTATCTGTGTGTGGTGTATGTGTGTGTATGTGTGTGTGTGGTGTATGTGTGTGTGTGGTGTGTGTTTATGTATCTGTGTGGTGTATGCATATGTGTATGTATCTCTGTGTGGTGTGTGTGTGGTATATGTGTGTATGGTGTATGTGTGTATGTGTGAGTGTATGGTGTTTATGTGCTGTATGGCATGTGTATGTATGAATGTGTATATGTATGTGTGTATGGTGCATGTTGTGGGTGTATGTGTGTGTATGATGTACGTGTATTTGTGTGTATATATATGTGTATGCATGTGTATGCATATTTATGTGTGTGCTCTGTGCGTATGTGTATGTGTGTGTATGTGTTTGCACGTGTGGTGTATGTGTGGCTGTGCGTGCTTGATGAGGCTAGAGGAGGATGTCGGCTGACCTGCTCAATTACTCTCAGTCTGATTCCTGTCAGGGTCTCACTGAACCTGGGATGGGCTGGCAGTCAGCAGCCCCCACGATCCTCCAGTCTCTGTCCCCAATAGCACTGGGATCACAGGCATGCACAGCCACATCCGCTTTTTTTGTGGGTGCTGGGATCTGAGCTCAGGTCCCCATGCACGTGCAGCAAGCACTCTTCCCCACTGAACTGTCTCTGCAGTCCCGATTTTGTTTGCTTTTTTGAGACAGAGCCTTATTGTGTAGCCCGGAGTAGCCTCTGATTCATGATCCTCCTGCCTCAGTTTCCCCAAGTGCTGGATTTTCAGGTGTTTGTCACTGTGCCTGGCTTTGATTCATTTTATGGATTGGGCTTCCCCCTACAGCTAGGAATGATCTGGACTTCAGCAGACTTGGATTCAAATTC